CCCCCCCCCCCCCCCCCCCCCCCCCCCCCCCCCGCCCCGCCAGGACTGTGCACCCAACTCACCGAGAACCCAGCCCAAGATGGGCAGGACCTTTTGATGCTCTCGGTGGTTGTGACAGAGGAGGCCACCATGCTGAAGGTGACCACCAGGACGCCCAGGAGCACCTGGGCTAGCCCCAGCATGAGCAGGGCCTGCAGCCAGGGTCGGTGGAGGCGAAGGTGGGTAAGGCCGCGGGTGCTGGGTCGGCTGGTCAGCGAACGGCTGGAGTCACTGGGCGAGGGCATCATGCCTGCTGCCCGGTTGCCGGCGCCTCGCTGGGCCTCCCCTGGCGCTTGGGAGCATCTCAGAGGCGCCCAAGGCCCCGTCCTCCCTCCTCTCCACCCTCTTTGCTCTAGAGCCCACCAACGGGATGGGTCCCCTGGGGCATGGCCCAGGGCCTCCAGCTGGGCGGGGGCCCAAGGGAGGGGCGTCGCGGAGGGGTCGCGGGGGGCTCCCTCCCCACCGCGGGCACCGGACGGGCACCGTGCCCGGGACGGCGATGAGGACGCGGGGGCGCCGGCTCATCGCATCTCCCTGGAGAACAGGGGCGCCGAGAAGGGCAGGTCCAGGCGTGAGGAGAAGCCGCGGTCGGGAACCCGGGAGAAGGGCGGGGAGGGTAAAGGCGAGGAGGGTGGGAAGAAGAGGGGAGGGGTCCTGGGGTCTGAGACAGTCCGGCGGGGAGAAGCCGGGGCGCTGCCCGCTGCGGGGCCGCCCTCCCCGCTCCGCCCCAACACGCTGCTCTCCCCAGCCTGGGCGGCAGCAGGTCCAGCCCGGCGGCGGGGGCGGGGCGGGGGCGGGACTGCGCGGTGCACCCCGGGAGCCGGTGTCGGCCCACAGGCCCAATGCAGTGGGGCGGGCGGCGGGGCCGGAGTGGGGCGGGGCTGCGCACGGCTGCCCGGGAGCTGGCGTCCGCCCGCGAGCCCGGTGCAAGGGGGCGGCCGGGGGGGGTGGGCAGGAGTGGGGCGGGGCTGCACGGGGCAGCCCTGGAGCCGGCGTGCGCCCTCGGGCCGGGCGCAGGGGGGCGGGCGGTGGGGCAGGAGTAGGGCGGGGCTACGCGGGCCGGGAGTGGGGCGGGAGTAGGGCGGGCCCGCGGGCCGGGTTAAGGCGGGCGTGGGTCTCCGCGGGCCTCGCGGGGTCAGGGGTCCGACCCCAGCCCCGCCCAGCCTCTGGGGCCCCGGGCCCGCGCCCCGCCCTTCAGCAGCCCCTGCGGGCTCCGCAGCCCTGCCCGCCACGGCCCGCCCCCTCCGGGGTCACGTTCTGCTTCCGCTCCCGTCCTCGCCGCGCTCCCTTCTCCCTTCCAGCGGCCTCGCTCCCAATAAAGATCCCGGAAACGGGGACTCGGTTCCAGTTCCTCTTTCTCTTTATTTAAATAACCGAAGCGCAGCTTGGCACAGCGGAGGGGAGCCGGGTGGGGTGTGTAAGGGCTGGCAGTAGTGTGGCCTAATCGAGGGGTGGCGGAGGAAGCGAGACTGGGTCCCCGTGGGCTCCCCGCACCCCGAAGTCAGGGTCAGCAGTCGTGGCTGCGGGCTTGGGGGCACCAGAGAGGAGACCCCAAGTCGTGACGTCTCACCGAGTCCCGGAGACGTCCAGGACGGGGTGGGGGGGGGCGGAGGGAGCGCCCTCCAGCGGCAGGGCCGGGGCGTCGCGGCCGGGGGGTCGGTGGTCACGGGGCTCGGAAGGCATTCTCGGCAGCCCCAGCGGCTGCGTTGGCGGCGGCGGTTCGCACGGCGGGGTTGGAGAAGACCCCGGCCGCGAATTCCTGCTGGGCCTTCTGGAAGCTGGCCCCGGTGCGGCGGTACAAGGAATGGATCTGCAAGGAGAGGGCAGGGATGACCCCCGCCCCCCCAGATCTGGGCCCGGCCCGGGCGCCGCGCCCTCCTGGGCCTCCAGAGTGCCCCTCCCAGGCCCCCGGGGCCCATGACCTTGGCGCAGCCCCTCACCCGCTTGAGCATCACGATCCCCAGCACCGCGACGCCGGTGAAAAACAGGGCCACCAGCAGCATGAGCGCGGCCGCCGCCTTGTTGGCGTTCAGCACCACCAGCGCCGAGATCCAGCCACTGCCAGAAGGGACAGCGCCGGCCGTCAAGAGGGGCAACCCCCCACGTCTGTCCTCCCACCCTCTCCAGGGTCAGCAAGCGGGCCCCATCCTACCCAACCCACCAGGGCTCCCTCCATCCCCTGGCCGTCAGTCTGGCACTTTCCAAGCACCACAATCCCACACCTGATTCACTCTCTTCAAAGTTTAATTCCTGCTTCCCCGAAATTTTCCTACCTCTCCAGACCCCTCCAAGACATCCTCAGTCCAAACAGACCTCTCTGTGGAGGAGGCCCCACCCCCTCTTCAGAAGCACTCTTGGGCGCTTCCCCTAGGAAGCCAGCTCTGACCACAGGTACTTTTCCTCCCCCACACCTAGGCTGTCTAGAGTTCTGACTGGGTAGGTCCTGTCTCTTGCATTCAACAAGCACCTTCTGGGGATCAAAACCACATTTCCTTCTTCTGAGCAAATCCTACCCCAGGACCTTGTGCTGACTCGGTCTAGAGGAATGAGGGGAGGGATGGCGGCGGCGGGGGGGGGGGGGGGGGGGGGGCGCTGGAGGGCAGCCTCACAGACCTGAACCCCCAACCTGGGATGCCAATGGCCTGGAGAACAAAGAGCACATCCTGGACGAAGAAAATGAAGAAGAAAACGAAGAAATTGAATGAACTGTCACTCCTGTGGGCAGGAAAACCAGGGAGAGTGGGAGAAGAGTCAGGGCAGGAGCAGGAGCTGTGGGGCCCATCCCAGGTTCTCCACCAGTCCCGACCCTCAACTTACCGGAAAGCCTTATACATGGGGCGGTACCAGCACACGAAGGAGCAGGGAGTGAAAAGGAGGACCCAGAGGATAGAGAGTCCAAAGCCTGAGCCATTGCTGGTCTCCACACAGAAGCTGGCCAGGCAGGCAAGAAAATTCAGGAGAAGAGCCAGCGTGCTACCTGAGGGATGGACGTACAGGACAATGAGCATGGCCGGCAATCACAAAACCCTCACCAAACGCTGCAGAGTACAGAAGAGAAGCTTCTGCCTCCACAGAATCCTCCACTCAGCCGCGGAGACAGAGCCCTATCACACGTGATCACCTTTGCAAAGACATTTAAAGGACTCAGAGGGGCGCCTGTGTGGCTCAGTGGGTTAAAGCCTCTGCCTTTGGCTCAGGTCATGATCCCAGGGTCCTGGGATCGAGCCCCGCATCGGGCTCTCTGCTCAGAGAGGAGCCTGCTTCCCTCTCTCTCTCTGTCTGCCTCTCTGCCTGCTTGTGATCTCTGTCTGTCAAATAAATAAATAAAATCTTTAAAAAAAAAAAAATAAAGGACTCAGAAAACATTTTTGCAGAACAAGAGAAAGGGGAAAAGGACAAGATCGTATGTTTTCTAGAAGGTGGGAGAACACGTTCTAAATAGTATGAAAGGAGTCACCCAGGAAAATTCCTGGAGAAACTAGCTTTCAACTCAAAAGAGCAGAGATGAAAATCTGAGTTCTAGGCGGGTGGGCTTGAGGGCAGGAAAGATGTCAAGGTCACTTCTTTTACTGGTCCTCTAAAACAGGCTTCTCACTACTCACACATCCAGAGGTAGTACATGGTAGACACGGTCTTCTGAAATTCTTGGGGGATCTCCATGGAGATGTCCTGGAAAAAGCAGGGCTGGACCGGGCAAAAAGAAGGTAGAGGGGGCCAATTGTTCTGTCGAGCTGTAAGGCAGAGAGAGAGCAGGAGGACCCGAGACTTGAGGCAGAGACCCACAAAGGAATCGCCCCTCCCTTCCACCCCAGGTTCTCTCTCCATCCTCCAACTCGGGATCCAAGGGGACGTGGGAGTGGGAGACGAGCAAAACCAGCGCTGACAGTGTTTACTACTATTTACAACTGCTAAGCACTATGCCCAGCACTCTGTATGAATGACCTTATTTAATTGCCACAAAGTCCTGTCAAACAGGTACAAATGTTACCTTTGTTTTATAAGTAAGGAAACCAAAGCACTCAAGATCAAGGAACTTATCTAAGAGCTCATGCGCAGTAAATAATAGCGCCCAAATTCACACTCGGCAATGTGGCTCCAGAACCCACACTCCTAGGGTTTTTTTGCTCCTTCAAAAGTGTCGGGCACCCGGGGGGCTCAGCTGGTTAAGCGACTACCTTCAGTTCAGGTCATGATCCTGGAGTCAGGGGATCCAGTCCAGCATTGGGCTCCTTGCTCAGCAGGGAGTCTGCTTCTCCCTCTGACCCTCCCCCTTCATGTTCTCTCTCTCTCAAATAAATAAGTAAAATATTTTTTAAAAAGTATCAAATGGGGGCACCTGGGTGGCTCAGTCATTAAGAGTCTGCCTTCTGCTTGGGTCATGGTCTCGGGGTCCTGGGATCAAGCCCCATATTGGGCTCTCTGCTCGGTGAAGAGCCTGCTTCCCACACCCCCCTCCCCTGCCTGCCTCTCTGCCTACTTGTGATCTCTGTCAAGTAAATAAATAAAATCTTTAAAAATATATTAAAAAAAAAAAAACCTTCTAAAAATAAATAAATAAATAAATAAATAAATAAATAAATAAAAAGTATCAAATGGGGGCGCCTAGGTGGCTCAGTCATTAAGCATCTGCCTTCAGCTCGGGTCATGGTCTCGGGGTCCTGTGATCGAGCCCCGCATCGGGCTCCCTGCTCAGCAGGGAATCAGCTTCTCCCTCTCCCACTCCCCCTGCTTGTGTTCCCTCTCTCCCTGTGTCTCTCTCTGTCAAATGAATAAATAAGATCTTTGGGGAAAAAAAAGTGTCCAATGCCTCCCCGTCGTCCTCAGTGCCCCCACCCCAGAACCCGCTTACCAGCCGCGCCCCCCAGCGCGGCATGCTGCAGTTCCCGCTCCCTCCGGTCCAACTCCTCTGCCTTCCGGTTGAGCTCCTCCTGCTTCTTCAGCAGCTCAGCGGTGGCTGCCGCAGCTGAAGCCTGCCCAGGACCCGCAGCGGGAGATGTGAGTCCTGGGCCCAGACCAGTTCCCCACACCCCCACTGCCATCCCGGCCCCCTATTTACCTGGGTGCTGTAGGAGCCGTAATTTTTGGGTTCTGTAGGGCTGAGCTTTCTCGAGGATTGCAACGAGGGAGCCGAGGGTGGAGGCAACGGGGCAGGGGCAGGAGGCTCATAGGCTGGTGGGGGCTGTTGATTTTGGAAAAGACTTTAGGGACCACCTAGTCCCTTCCAATGCAGGTGTCTAGAGCCTGCTTGAGGACCTTGAGATCCCGAACCCGTTCCCCAGGCTCCCCGCCAAGAGAGCTGAACCTCTGGCAGAGAACTAGGTCTTCTCTTAGCTGCAGCAGCCCTCATCAGCCCCCACATCCCATCCCTTGACCAGGACTCAAGGCACTCATCCACCAAACCGCCCCCTTCACTTTTTAAAGCTCTTAGAATTTTCTATTCTGTGGGACAAACAGGTCTGGTCCTCCTCATTTCTTACCTCCAAATGCACCCCTAAGCATAACTGGTTTTCCCCTCAACTCCTACCAGCCCCATTCTGTATTTTCTTCAGAGAAGCCTCCCCAGACACAAGCCTTGGTCCAGGCGTCGCCAGTCTCCAAGCCCTCCTGGGACGGAGGCTTAGACCTCAAACGGGATCGTTCGCCCTCGTGTCCCCAGAAGGGTTAGGCAAGCCATGGCAGACTGGCCTCTCTCCCGGGG